AGTACAATAAATATCTCAATAAAATGATTACGCTACATTTGTACATGTAGGAATATCATGTATTTGTCTCTCTTTGTCCTTAAATGGTATTGTTATTGCCATTATTAATATTACCTTTTGCATTTTTTTGTTAAGTTCTCAATGTTGAGATATGTGAAAGGTTGTGTTTTTTGTTTTCATTTTGTTGATATGTTACTTTAATCATACTAGTCTCATTGCCATTGAATTCTGAAGTCATTCAAATAAAATAAATTGTGTGAACAAGTTTGTATTTCTATTAAAAGCCATGGCATTTTAGGTAATACGTATCTGTACACGTATACTTTACTGTAAACTCAGTAATTTATGTGACGTATTTATATAATCATGTGAAAAATGCAATCAGATGTCGCAGTAATTAGAATAAGCATTTAAAATTTTGTCAAATAGGTTTGTTAGGTAACAAATGTTGTATGGTTTACACTAATTTATTCTTTTTATTGTAACCGAAATTTAAAACCAACATAGATAAGATCAAGCATAATTCTGAATTAACAGTTTTGACCACTACATCAAAGCAGTACCAGAAACCAAGTGTAAAAATAAGAAAACAAGAACCATGTCATATTGTATTTCGCCAATGGTATTATAGTGTATATTTTGTACATAAAAAACAATTCTCCCTCTCAATCTTTTGTCATGTGTGCCCCCTTTTTATTGCCCCCCCCCCCTGGAGATGAATAATGGCCGGTCCCTGACCTATAACCATTAACAGCTGGATGCGAAAATACTTATTATCTTTTTTAGTTTTGTTAAAAATATCTATCAAACGGTGTTTTGTTTTGTCTTTATGAAGCGTTTCCTAAAATTGGGATTTATAACAATGTGGAAGTAGGTTTAAACTGTCAATGATCTCAATTCCGGTTTTAGATATTAAACTTATACAACAGTAAACAGATAATAAAAAAAAAACACAACGTATAAGTGGATAATATTGAAACATCTTCAAGGCAAAAGAATTATGAAACAACTGTCACTATAACTTTGTATGCAAATCCGCTGCGAAAATTGTAGGTATTTATTATATAAATATTTAACCACAATATGTCGAGTTTGTTACATTTTCGCCAATATATTAATTGGTTATACTTAGAATGACCAAGTTATTTTTAAACTCAAAGACAAAGATAGCCTTAACCAAATTTAACACAACCTCCTAGAACTTTTAGAGGTGAATGCTCTTCAACTTTGTTATTAATTTTGTCATCTACTTTTATGTCGACAAACCTTGCCAGTCAGGATTTAACTTCGTCAAAATTATTTTCCCATTACGCTACTTTTTTTTCAACCGTGAAAATGAAAGCGATTGTAGGGATGACGCGCTGTCAATCTATCACTTGAAAACCGATAAAATTTATCCACATAACATCATTACGATACTTACATGACAGCATTTTAAAAGACAAATGTCTATTACAAGCTAATAAGCATCATTAAATGTACTTTTAGGCCTTTTGTCAAGTTAAAACTATTGTCTGATCGGTTGTCAGGGAGATTTTTCGAAAGTTAAAAAAAAAACCAAGATAACACGCACAAAAAACGATTTTTTTTAAGTTATGCATAAAAAAAGATCCACGCGTAAAGTCTGTCGTAAAGGGCTTTCAGTAACAATTTAAGGGGGTGTTTGTGAACGATGTGTCCTTTTTTTCGCTTTTTTTTGTACATTTCATGAATAAGATAATTAACATACCTAAATTTTAATTGAAATGAGTGAACAGAAAATAAAATAGAATACAAGTAAGAAATACACCTCAATTTAAACATTTGTAGCACAAAAAAATGTTGTTGTTATTCAAACACACCAACTCTGTTGTAATTAGAAAGGTATTTCACTTGACCCATATACTTTTTGTACTGTGAATTTTTAATGTTATTATATCAACATGTTGCCTAAATATATGAAAATAATTGACTCTGAAGTGAGATGATGTATCTAATAGTATTGCTTTGTACGTTTTCAAGAAAAAACAGTCAACTCATACACGCCTGAACATAAAAAAAAGTGTATCAGATTTTCACATTTCGATGATATGATTGTCCGTTTTAAGGATTTCTTCCCTAAAAACTGTTGCCGGAGTCAGATGTGCAAATTTATGCTTTAAAAAGATCAATCTTTTATCTTTCTGTGGATTTTTTTTTCGGTGGAATTTATGCTTATTTACAAAAAAAAATCCACATGTATTTGCACCTAGCATAATCGACTGTTTGGTAAAAATTATATATTTACTAAGTATTCACTAGTTTTAAAGTTTACAAATATATGATTTATGTATACACACGTATATAAGATGCAAAAAAATCTAAATTATGCACCTACATTCAACTTTTAAAGCCCAAACTAAATTTTTTACAAATATCTCGAAGCTCACGTATATGAGTTGAAAAAATCCTGAATTATGCATCTACATTAAACTTTTAAAGCCCATAGAAATGAAGGTAACCAATTCAAATGTACCAACTTGGCCATTGTTTTCTCGTTTGAATTGTTTTACATTTTATCATATCGGACCTTCTATAGCTTACTATATGGAATAGCTTATGTTCATTGCTGAAGGCCATATGCTGATTTTTAGTTTACGATGTCTATATCTACGTCATCTGATCTTTGGTGGATAGTTGTCTCATTGTCAATCATACCACTTCTTTGCAATTTATATTTGCAACGCTTTTTAAGTTTGAATTAGTATTAAATGATCTTTTTTGTAATTGATTTTGCCTTCTAATTGTTTTGATTTGAGCGCCACTAAAGAGTATATGGACACGAAACGCGCATTTGACGCCTGATATCCACACGACCCCATTACAACACGCGGGGTATCCGACGAATGATATTTAGATTATGCGTGACCTAAATACTCAAGTTTACAAATTGACATTAATTTTTTCCCTTATGGCCTTTGACAATGACGATAATAACGTATAACGTCATTCATCATAACAAATTCAGAATATCAAAGTCATGCAAGTTTTTTCGTTCTGTGTAGCATTTAAATGAAATTTGTATAGCTCACCAGTTTTTATTCACTAAATTTTTTGTTGTTGTAATGAATTATAATAGAAACGGTCGGAATTAGTAAATCGTTCAAAACGTTGATCAGAGTGCAGTGAGTTTTACAGAAGTCTCCATGTATTTTAAGGTCAAACAAATATTGATAGTATTCATATACATGCATGCTCACACATTTATCATATTGTCCAGTATCTTTTGGAGACACATATTATAGGTTAGATTAAGGTAAATATATATTTTTAAAATTTTATTTCATATCAACGAGGAACATACCTTTGAAATGTTGGGGGTAAAAAAAGGGTTTTCAAAAGTAGAAAAATGTTTTAATGTCATACATCAAAGGGTTCTGCCAAAGTAAAACGCTACAATTCAGTGAATTTTAAAGGTAGGTGTGTAATGTCTTCGGTTTTTATGTATTTTTGTTAGATTTTAGCAAGCAGCATAAACGCACAACAATTAAAACGTGTTCAATTTTACATCGCCTTTGTCAGAGTCGTATTTCAAATAAAAGAGTAACAGAGTTGTTATTGTTTGACAAAGTTGCGCTGTTATCGAAGAACAAACTAATATTTCTCAAACTTTTTTATTTGAATTACTATATTTTTGATTCATTCCTAGTAGTAACAAGTTGATTTGTAGCTGGCTGAAATTTCTGCACATTTGTGGAATATTTAAATATATATCTACTCATTTTCCATTTTGAAATATCTTGTAGTATATTGATTCCTAGTAGTTTTTTATTTCTGGTAATTCCGTGAGTTCTTAAAAGAAAATAATCACATGCCTACAGACTGTAAATGTATATTTGAAGGAAAAAGGCTCGTATCAGACAGTGGTAATTCCTTGAGTTCTGAAAACGTTTATCTTATTATTGGAAGAAAACAATCACATGCCTACAAACTGTGAATGTAAATTAGAAGAAACAAGCTCTAATCAGACAATTACATAGATGATTGTATGCAGAAATACGGGAAAATAACAATATTCAGCCTCGTCCTGCCTGTCTTTAGAGCATTTGACAATTTCACTTAGACGTTTCAAAGGAAAAGATAATTGAGTTTTTACTTCACTATACAACTATTTTTAGACTGTCTTCCAAGACACATCTACTATCATAATGTTCTATTCTTAAAGCCTAATACGACAAGAATGCAATTAAGACTTATAAAATCTGTGGTACTTTATACATCATATTAGATCATATGATAATCTCACTTAAATTCATAATGAAAAATGTAACTAAATAAAAAAAATACCATAATCAGCTGAAGGCTTTGACAAAATAACCAACAAAAGCGTAGATCTGGGCCCGGTTGTTCAAAAGTGTTGTTAAGCTAACGCAGTCGTTAAAGTGTCGTTAGAGAGTCGTTAAATTTAACAAATTTGTTAACTGTTGTTCAAAAAATTTAACGACAAAAGTAATGTTAAAGAGTCGTTAACTTTAACAACTTCTGGGAGGTCGATTAAATATCTAAGTTATTGTTAAATATGGCCGCCTTCATGCAAGTACCTGTTCCACCTCAGAGAAAAGAAAGGCATTTTCGCCTCAAAGATGACCTTTCTTTGAATTTGTCCAATGAGGAATTAAGAGAAAGGTACAGATTTGGTAGAGAAGGAATTATGTTCATTTCCAACCTAGTTCGCAATGATGTATCAAGAAAAACAAAGAGAAACCATGCCCTCACTGTGCCACAGCAAGTCATGGTAACCATGAGATTTTTAGCCACAGGCAGTTTCTTGCAAGAAGTTGGAGACACAATAGGTAAGATTGCATTATATATTTATCATATGTCATTTAAAATTAAGTAAACATTGCCAATGTGGTGTTAATCGACTGCTATATTTATCTTTGGCTGATTTTTGAGTGATACTTTCAATTTGTTGATTTTCTAAATAATATATAATCAAACGGTAAATACACATTTTATTTTTGTACTTTATCGATCTCCAAAATTATATGTTGTTGTTATTGGTCTGTTTACAGGTTTGCACAAGGGAACTGTCTCACGTATTGTGTCTGATGTTTTGAATTCATTATATGACAAACGGGATGAGTTTATCAAGTGGCCGAAAAATGTTGATGAAACAAGAGGATACTTTTACCGTCTAAGTGGTTTCCCAAATGTGCTAGGGGCAATAGATGGTACACACATCCGTATCCAGGCTCCATCAGAAGATGAACCATCATTCGTGAATAGGAAAGGGGTACATTCTGTCAATGTGCAGGCTGTTTGTGATGCCAGAGGTAAAACATTTCTTTCTTATCTAATATGACATTGACCTTCATAACATAATAAACTGGTTTCAACTTTTTTGTATGACTGGGACCCCTATAGTCTGTTTCTCACATAGTAATTACTTTCACTTTCACTCCAGTGTAAACCTTCATCTAGGACATAAAAGTAGGATTTTATATGGTTTACTTATTACAGGTAAATTAAAATATTAGTCAAATATTAAAAGAAGTTATTTGTCATTTTTTCGTCAATGAGAAAAAGATTCTGTTCAGGGGCCCAGCCACTTTCAAAAAGGGGGGGGGGTCCCAACCTAGGAAAAGGGGAGTTCCAACCATATGTCCCCATTCAAATGCACTGATAGTCCTAAAAAGGGGGGTTTCCTGGAACCCCACCACAGATCCGCCACTGCTGTTTCAGATACATTTCTTAAATTTTCCCTTTTAATCCAAAAGAAAGAAAGATTATCCTAGGTTAACTTACAGTACAATTTATAATTTTAATATCGCTCTGATGTGGATCAACTATAAAAAAATAAAGATGCATTAGCACAATTGATTTGATTATTAATATCATGTTTTCCTAGTTTGAAACAATATAGTTGAGTCATAATTTGTGAGTCTATACATGCATTGTACATCTGAGTTATGGTTATTCATTGTGTTTTCTGAAATTTAAAGCAATTATACACTTGTAGTTGGAAATGTTTGGACACCCCCTTTTAAGATTACCATTACAATACTTTTATATAAATGCATTCAAATAAATTTTATTTTTTGGTCCACTGTTGCATGATCCCAAATAATCCTCTCTTTGAAACTCTTGCTACACCTCTTACATGACTTAATTAGAAAAATATAATAATTAATAAAAGATAATTTGTTACATATAATTCTGTTTATGCTATTACAACATTTCTTTCTTCTTTGCATTATATATAATATTCTATATTTTGCAGGTAAATTCACAAACATAAATGCAAACTGGCCAGGTAGTAGTCATGATTCCCACATATTCAGGACTTCACAAGTATGTATTTTATAGCCATGTTGGTCATCTTTTATTAGTCATATTCCCTTTCAAGCACTATATGTTAACAGTAGGAAGACTTCTTATTTTCTCAATATATATTCAAAATCTCTTATCTTGGATTGGTTACCACTGCGGGAAGTCAAAATCTTCTTCTTGGACATAAACCCCCTATTTTTATTGCCTGTCATCATTAATATTTGTTTTCCCTTTTTGTCATTACACTGATAAAGGTGTAAAAATACCAATCTGAGGACATTTGAATTTCATTTCAAAATAATGAATTTATCATTTCACATTTACATATAATTAAGCATTTTAGCATAATAAAATTTGGATTAATGAAAGAAAGGCTAATACATTATACATATTAGATTGCAATTGTATTTCCATATCTTTAGTAAAGGATTTATATGTTAAAAAATCTATTATTCCATATATTAAGAAGCAACCTTTTAGTTTTAAGTGGGGGCTATGTTAAAAAAATATTGATATACAATAACTGAAAAAAGAATATAGAAATATCTTTAGTAAATGATATATATGTTAAAAAATCGATTCTTCTATATATATATAAAGAAGCAACCAATTAGTTTTAAGAGGTGGCTATGTTAAAAAAATATTGATATACAATAACTGAAAAAGGAATATACAAAAAATAGTCTTGCTCAATATTATTTAAGGTAAACAGTGTAACTCCTCCGTAAAGCTTAATATATAAATTTAAATTATACAAATGGTAGTTTTAACCAAATATATGATGTAAATGAAATATAAACCTTTATGTATAGGTTTGTACCTACATGGAACAAAATGGTGGATGGGCAAATGGTGTACTGCTTAGGGATAGTGGTTATCCTTGTCGTCCATTTTGATGACCCCATACCAGAATCCTGTACAAGATCATCAGAAAAAGTACAATAGATGCCACTGTTCAACAAGAAGTGAGATTGAGAGAACATTTGGGAGGCTGAAGAGACGGTTCCATATATTACACTCAGAGGTAAAGGATAAAAAAAATCAATTCTTTATGCAAATGATCAGTGTCATAGAACATAAGGGAGCTACCATTTGATTTTTGAGGGGGGAGGGGGGGGGGGTCAGGACAGGACAGGAGTTTTGAGTAAAAAAAAAGGCAGGATGAGACACTTGCAAAAAAAAGGCAGGATGACAATTAAGGTAAAAAAAGTCAGGATAAACTAATAAAAAAAAGCAGGACCGAATAGAGTGAAAAATAAAAAGGCAGGACTGAAAAGAGGGAAAAATAAATAGGCAGGACAAAATTTTTCATCCTAGTCACTTTGTTCAATTTCATCAGAAACTGATTTTTTTGTGGTTCTATATGCTGAATGTATCTGTGTATTAATATTTTTATATTGGGCCCTGTTTTCAAATTAGTCCATATAATATAAAATCCAAAGGGTCCAAAATTAAACTTTGTTTCATTTTACAAAAATTGGATTGATTGCGTTCTTTGATATGCTGAATCTAAACATGTATTTAGATTTTTAATTTTGGACCTGTTTTCAAATTGGTTCACTTTGAGGTCCATAGGGTCCAAAATTAAACTAAGTTTTGATTTTAATAAAAATTGGATTGTTTGGGTTCTTTGATATCCTGAATCTATACATAAATTTATATTTTTGGTTTTGTACTCAGTTTTCAAGTTGGTACAAATCAGGGTCCAAATTAAATGTTGTGTTTGATTTTTACAAAAATTATTGAATATATTAGGTGTGCTGAATCTTAACTCTGGTTTCAGATTTTGGATTTGGAGCAAAATTGGGAATGTCGAGATCCATGCAAAGGATCAAAAAATTAAATTTTGTTTGATTTTGGTGTATGGAATGATTGTTAGGTGTAGATGTCTAGCTGGCAGGTGTCATCTGACCTTGATCTCATTTTCATGGTTCAGTGGTCAAAGTTAAGTTTTTGTGTTGTGGTCTGTTTTTCTTAAACTATAAGCAATATGTCAACTATATTTGTTGTATGGAAGAATCATTACCTGTACTTGTCTGCTTGGCATGGTTCATCTGACATTGACCTCATTTCCATGGTTCATTGGTCAATGTTTAGTTTTATTGGTTAAGTCTGTTTCTTATAAACTATAAGTAATAGGTCAACTATATTTAGTGTATTGAATAATTGTTAGGTGTACATGTATTTCTTGTTTGGTTTATATGACCTTGACCTCATTTTCTTGTATCATGTTAATAGAAAATTAAAGGATATGGAGTAAATGTACATGGGACAAAATCACACACAATACATAGAAAACATAGAAAATTATCAATGAACAAGTTTATGTGATAGTTGTAGTAAGGCTTTATATTTAGGACTATCAATATAAGGCCATAAAAAAGAATAAGTTTGTTTGCCCTAACCCTACCTACCCAGACAATATCTCCCTACTCAAAATCTTTTATTGTCTTGATGTGAAAAAGTTTTTTTTTAATCAGATAGGCATGAAGACCAAACAAAATCTGACACTTCAATTTCTCTTTGCCGAAAAAAAAAGAAAATGCCTACCTAACTACCCACTGTATCTACCTTTGGGTAGGGTTTTGGCAAACCAAAATATTAGCAAGGATTAGTAAAGAAGGTGAGTCATTTCAGCGTGTGCACTCTTGTCTAAGTTCTAACTTCTAAGACCAAATTAACATGCTATTGTGAAAAAAAGGCAATAATTCTACATTACTTTCACTCTTTGGTTTCAGATAAGAATGACACCAAGCAAAGCATGCAAGATCATCATTGCTTGTGCTATTCTTCACAATATTTGCATCTTATTAAATGAACCAGACATTGAAGATGATGGAGTAGTGATAGACAATGATGGAGATCTTGGGGAACGTTTTTTTGGTGATCAGGACGGAAGAGGTGTCAGAGACCACATTTCCTCCACATTTTTTAATCGCTGAAATCATGAATAAAACATTGAAAAAAGCTTTTTTCAGAATATGTATTTGATCAATAACAATAATTTAAAACATATCAAAAATATAACATTAATATGGAACTATAGATAAATGTTGATTAAAGTTACTGAAATAAAGCCTCTAACATTGACTCTGTACAACTATTTTCAAAATTTTTCTTTATCAAATCATAAAACTCCATTTGCTTCTTGAAAAGTTCCATTTGGGTCCGATTTCTTTTTAGCTCGCTCTCTAATGCCTGACACTGCAACTCGTATACATCTTCTGCAGTTCTCTTGGGTTTCTTTGTCCGTTTATTCTCACTGAAATATATACAAAAAATTAATACTTGGTAAATCTTGTAAATAAATATAGTTATTATAAACCGGTATAACTATTTATGTAAAATTGTTTTTTCAAAGGCCAAGATTTCTACAACTTGTACGTTAATGTTTCCACCTTTAACTAATAGTCTTTAAAAAAAATTGATCATATTGAAGTAAGTGTTCCGGATTAATATTTAAACAAAAGGTGATGTAGACTTTCATTTAATTAATTCTACAAATGAGTATTTGGGATATTTCTCTGAATCTTACATTTAACTGATAGTTAAATGCGATAATTTGATTTAGAATTTAGATCCCCATTTACAGGACATATTTGATCATAAAAGAACAAGTTTAATGAAACAATTTAAAGGGAGATAACACTTGATTTTATACAGGGCTGCTGTATAAACTTATTGGCACTTTAAGAATATTTATCAGTATTCAAATCATTACATAAGAATATGTGGTATGATTGCCAATTAGACAATATATATATGCATCAGAGTCCAAAGGAAGCCCAATTAAGCCAAGTTATATCATCATAATCCCTTTAACAAAGAGCAAATATATTCCAGGATGTATTCAGGTGTTTCATACACAAAAGACTCATCAGTGATGCTCCATTTAAATAAAGTTGCAGCGCCAGATATATACAACGCTAAAAGAGCATTCAGTACATACCCAACTTACTTAGTTTATAGAAATTATAAAGGCTGTTGTAATCTTTCATCTAAAACATATACCTGGCTTTTGGTGGTTGCTGAGTGCTGCTATTAGTAAATGAAAGAGGTATTTGGGCTGATAGGTTGGCATGTTCAGTATAAAGTGTTTCTTCATTTCTCTGATGAACCTGCTCCAGTCTTCTAATCCAGATACTCTCCACAGAAGATGGTGGTTCTAAAAGTTTTGATTAAAGAAACATTAAAATTGCCTCAGTTGATTGGGTATACATTGCATATGTGTTGAGTATATAAAAATAAGGAGGAATAGTATGATTGATTAGAAGACCTTGAGACAACTATCCACCAAATTGGAAATGAAGTTGATGTATATTTAAAATTGAGAATGGAATGGGGAATGTGTCAAAGAGACAACAACCCGACCATAGAGCAGACAACAGCCGAAGGCCACCAATGGGTCTTCAACGCAGCGAGAAACTCCCGCACTCCGAGGCGTCCTTCAGCTGGCCCCTAAACAAATATGTATACTAGTTCAGTGATAATGGACGTCATACTAAACTCCAAATTATACACAAGAAACTAAAATTAAAAATGAATATTTAAATGTGTCAGTCAAGATACATATATTCAAGACATAAAATCCCCATCAATTGAACAACATAGGTTGGTGAAAGGTATGGTAAAATAGAAAAAAATAATATAGCCATGATAGCTGTTACTTCTTTCCATAAGTCATTATATTCTGTACTGTCAATTACAACTTTAGAAAATATATAAAGACCAATTGAATGAAAGTAAGTAAATAGATACAAAATTTACTTAAAGCGTGCTATTACAGAGACCCTGTATAAGACCCTCCATGAGTCATTTTTTTATACATATAAATTCTTTTCACAGCAATATATATCAACTTCAGTTCTTTAATTCAAATATTGATTCTGAAACATTGCATCTTCATTTTTATGAAATGCAGAATTGTAAAAATAATAGCATAATGCAAAAATCTAAGTAATAATTACCATCAGCTGTCTGGCATCCTGAGACAGCAATCTGTGCTGGAATGGGTGAGTTGACAGGTTCAGCAGTATATATTTGATCAGATGATGAGCTTTCTGAAATAGAATGAAGATACATAATAATTTTATTTTTTTTAACAATCATTTTATTTTTGGATATTTGATTGATAATAAGAACTCTTCATTCGATCAAAATCAAATAAAATAATACTTGAATAATGTTATTCTTGTACCTGTTTTCTTGTAGCTGTCATATAAATACTATACACAAAAAGGATGAATATGCATGAACATTATTCCTCATTGCAGTGGAACCCCCTCCCCTTTTTTTTGATGATCTATGCATTTGAATGGGGACCTTTTAAAATGGCTTGATCCACCCCTGTATTGATTGTACTTACACTCTCAATTTTATACCAAATTATTTGTTACAAGGGCAAATAATCTCGCTCTTTACTTATGGTTACAATTATAATATTACTGCAATTAATTACCAGCCAGTGTTAACCTTTTATAAATCTATATCATGAACTAATTCATTTGATTAACAATATGCTCAGCAATTTTTAAAATAAACTATATATTAAAAACTGTTTATATCTTAAATACTAATATTTTATAAAAGGTTCCAGATTTAAACAATGATAGGTATAGGATGGCTACTATACTAATCCTGAATTTAATAATAACTAACAAATCAAGCAATTTAATGGGCTTTTTTGTTGATAAAATTGATTTTAATGCTTAAAAGAAAGTAAATTTCTTTAAAAAATTTATTGTCATGTGTATGCGTGAATATCTTCTTTAGATACACACCTTGTATACTGAACTGTGTTGGTCTACTCTCACTTGTTTCTGTCTGCTGAGGAAACCCTGTAAAAATGATAAAGTGAAAATTACAAAAAAAATCAGGCACAAAGAAAGATAACTCAATTTTTAATAATGCATGTCTATTTTGAAATGGACTATAAACATGTCACAATGACTTGAGTAAAGTATCCAATGCAAGTTCGTTCTTGGTTGTATTTACAAATAACTTTTATTGAAATTTAAATAATCTTTAAAAGTAAAAGGATTTTCTCTGAAAATTTTACTACAGCTTATTTTTTTTTTCATGGTGATAAAACATGATGTAAGGGGCATTGCAGAATTGACCGCCAAAGGTGATGGCCAACACAAACTTCAGCTCTTGCAAAACAATAATTATACCTTTTTTTATCGATAAATAGATTTGTATATGATGATTATTTCTCATCAATATCATGAGAAGGTATTTTTATATATCTAAGGTAAGAGAAAGGTTGCATTATAACACAACATAAAATTCTATTTTTAGCACATCGGCGACGTCTGTAGGGAATTTCGTTGAAAGGGATATCCTAATGTCAAAGCAGACGACGCACTCTGGCTTAATAATTTTCTGCATTATTTTCTATGATAGCAATAAAAATAACCGTCAGATTTATTGTTTCAAAGGAATTAAACAAATTAATGGAAGCATATCATTGATTAGTAAATCTAAAAGTAAAATACTTGCCCACTGAAGTTTCCATCCCTTCATCTATTACTTTGAAAGAGGAGGTGTCTTGTAATGCATTTATTATGTTCTCCTCAGCAACGCTTATTGGTTTTGGAGAAGGTCCTCCTCCTGTCTTGTTTCTCTCCCTCTTTTCATACACAAATTTTTCTTTGGCGTCTCTTGTGAGGTTTCTGAACTTGGTTTTCACAGTCAGAACTTGCCTATAGCTCACACCAAGAGCATTCACTTCTGCAGTTATTTTTTCCCACATTCTGTTTTTTGCATCAGCTGTCACATCCTTACCGAATTTCCCCCTCAGTAAAGCCAGTTCTTCAACAACTCTCCTACTGATGAGGGTAACTTCCATACTGGAAAAATTCTGCCCTCTAATTCTTGGAATTTTCTTGGGGGGTTGCTCTTCAGCCATGTTCAAACAGGAAGTGGAGGAATTTTGGGTAAATTTTTTGGAATTATGGGAAAATGTTAAAATAAACAGTTGTTAAATTTTTTAACAAGTGGTTAGTTAACTCAGTCGTTAAATATTTTTGAACAACATAATTTAACGCAGTAATTAGCTAACAACAATGTTAAAATTTAACGAGTCGTTAGGCTTAACTAGTCGTTAGCTTAACGACACTTTTGAACAACCGGGCCCTGTTCACTTATAATAAAACAGCACAGTAATATTTGACAAAATTGTTTGTTTAAGTTAGAAAATTAATCAGCATTACATCCGGTTTATAGCTTCATATCTTTACGCTGTAAAAATTAAAAAGAACAATCTGCGTATTCCATTTCTTTTACAAGGAAAGAAAAAGCTGACGACCCAACACATTTCTAGGAAAAGAGTCAAAGCGAGCGCGGTCTTATTGTATATATATTTAAGGATACATAAGAAATCTGTTCCTAATTAGATCTTCTGAGACTCTATCTAGCCCAAATGTTTGCACTTTGAATGTAGGAATTTGACCTAAGTGAGCAGGTGACATCTTTTGGGATAACTTCAGCAGGCAACCTAAGTTTAATTACCATTGTCTTATTTATCAACGAAAAATTTAAAATAAAAAAAACAGTAATTAAATAATGTCAGAACTAAGACTGACTCTAGGGAGAACTATACCTGACCAAAAATACCAAATATCAAGAAGCAAGCAGATAATCTTATATTTAATGGGAAATCAAAGACCGAACAAATAAACTCGGGTATAATAAACATATAGTTTGCTAAATTATATAATTGATACTAAATTTATATAATTGATACTAGCTTCATACAAATATGATACTAGCTCCATACAAATATGACACTAGCTTCATAAAAATATTTCAATAAAATATATCTATGTCACAGCCAAAATATTTTAAGGTACAGAGGATCAAATGTATT